CCAACCACCGTATTGGAACTTAGGAGGAGAGAGGGAGAGAGAGAGAGAGTGCATACTATTTTTGGAAGAGAGAGAAAGACCTTGAACTTGAGGGTGGAAAGAGGAGACGGTTCGTGCACCAGAGTAGGGAGAGTAGGTTGTAAAAACCTTTTTACCTTTTAACATTTGAAGGTAAAACATTTTTGAATTTTGTGTTTTACCTTATATAAGAGAGAGAGGGAGAAGAGAGAGAGAGAGATATCAAATTACTGATTTTGCCCGAAAAGGAGAGAAAAAAATAATTTCGCCTCTGTTTTTTTTAGTCGAATCTCATTTCTTCACTCGAATTGACTTAAAGCATTCGAAACAACACGAAGTACCCCGAATCTTGCCGAAGTGAGTGATTTGTTCTCCGCTTCATTTCAATTTCGTGTGGAAAACCAAAGGCTTCCGCCAAAGCGAAGCAAACTTGATAACATTGCTCATAGGCAACCGCACACAGGAGACCCACTGCAAAATCTCACAGTTCTCCTAATCTACAAATATGATCATTGGAAATCTCTCCGACCTCAACAAGGGATGACTCATTGCAAAACCTTCTCGGTAATGCCACATGCTCAGCGCTTAGAGTTTTTAAATATGATCACGGCCATAAACAGCACAACCCTTGGTCAATCAACACATACACTTCCACTAAAATGCATATTTCATTGTGAAATAGCGTATTTACAAACTCTCTAGGCCCTTCGGGCCGCAAAACCCAACATGCTTCCATTTCTCTCTCTCCTCTGTCTTCTCCTCCCCCATTATCTCTTACCTCTAATCCTCCTTCAGGATCTCCCAAGCTCCCCACCTTCACGGCTTCGGCCCTGGACCTCTCTTATAATTTCTTCATAAGCTAAACCCCAACCTCAACCCCAAATCCTCATTCTCAAACTACTTCCCTCTCTACCCCACTTCTCCAATTACCTCATCTTTCACCTGTGTGGAAAAACTTCTCATTTACTTTACCTATTCACATTTTTGACAGATTTAGGTAAATAATTGTAGGATTTCAATCAAAATAGGCCTATAAAGAGAGAATGTGAAAATGTTTGGCATTAAGAATTGGGAAACTAAAGAGTGCTTGAAAGGGGTTGGAGCAACCTATTGGGGCTTATGGCTCTCTCTTAATAAGGGGAAGGGGGAAGAGGGACTGATGAAGGAGATGAGAGAGGCCCAAGGGATTTATATTTGTTTCACTGCCACCATCCCGCCATTTGTTTCACCTAATCACATGAATTAGTGAGAGAAATTGGCATATGGGTAACTGGGGCTTTTTATGCCCCAGTTTAATAATACAAAAAAGGAGGCAGAGGAATGCTGTAAATCATTAGGGCAGAGAGAGACCCAACAAAAATTCGATGGAAATTTTTTTCCAAGGAAGTCGCAGAGAGAAAGCAACATGTGTAGTGCAAAAATGTAGGGCTGAGAATTTATCTAGTTTAGATCCGAAACCTAAATTTCGGACACTATTCGGATCCAGGTATGTATCCAAGATTTTGATATGATGTGGATCCAAAGTTTGGTTACGAATAGCAATTCCGATCGGATCTGGGTACAATTGGATTTGATCCGGATCCAACCCAGTTATTAAAATGGATTGTCTACAAAGAGACTATTTATCTTTTGTACATGGAGGCACAATCTTTTTATTAGTGAAATAAGATGCATCTTCATCATCAGCCTCCATGCATTTTTTGTAATTCTTAATCATATTTTCAAAATCTTCATATGTTGTATTTCTAGCCTCCCTGCTTTGTACCTCCTTCATTACCTTATTTCATTTCCCCCCTACAATTTCTATAGGCTTGATTTCCTTTAGGTCTGGGTCAACACCTTCCTTCTTCATCTCTTCATTGATGCTAAAGTTAGATGTTTTTGCTGTCTCAAGGCCAACTTCTATCATTCCACCTTGTTCATTATAAAAAATAGGACCTTCATCAAAGATGAGGTCACCCGTAACATCGAGAAATGATGAACTTGGCTCAGTCCTACAAAAAGGCTCATAACAAAATAGATAAACACGCATTTGAGAGGGACAAAAACATTGTCTATGATAACTGCTAAATTTATCAACACAAAAGTGCCTTAGCCAAGGCTGCACTCTTTAAACCCTTTGGACTATGTTTGGGGGCTCTATTGAGTGCGAGCTATTGTTTGTTTGTTTGCTAACTGCACACACTTTAGTTAAGCTTCAACCACCTCAAAAAAAATTCTGGTTCTCCCTTTTTTTAAAGAATCCAAAAATACCCCTGGATGTAAATTTAGTGGTCTTTTTGCCAGTTTTTACTCGATTTTTAGCTTAAAAGGCCCAATTGTGAGCGCGCAACCTTTATGCAGCACTTCAAATTTTTAGAGAATGTTTACCTTCCTGTTATGAAACAGGCCCTTAAGGATACTCATGTTATTTAGAATGAAATCATAGGCCATCGAGAGGAATTGAGAAGATCGATTAAATTGAAGAAGATTAGAAAGAAGATAGGAAAGAGAAAACTGAGACAATCATTATTTATTATTTATTATTTATTATTTTTATTTTTTGTTTATCGTTTACATATCCCTTATTATAATAGTTTTTAGATGGATAAATTACGACCAGGCTTTGTCTTTTATATGGGGGATTTCAAAGATAGAAATCATTTTATTAGATGCAGTCTGTCTCTCTCTCTGTGTGATTATCAAGTATCCTTTCTTTCATTTATGGATTTTTTTATTTTTTATTATAAGGAGGCGCTTTTTAATGGAAGATTAAGTGTTTGGGGTAGAAGATTAAGTATTTGGAGTACGGATTTATTAACCAGATTCTGAAAAATAGATTTACGATATGTTGCGATTTTTGTTTATGATAGAAATTGAGAATCATGTATGTTTTAATTTTTGTTGATCATTTACTGATTTTATTATTATTATAAAGTTATTGGATGGAAGAATAATTGAATCATTCATGAAATTAGCAAATTATTTTTTCTTTTATTTACATATTTTTTTAGCTATAAGGAATTTTTTGATGGAAAATCATGTATTTGAGTACGGAATTAATGAAGGACATTATTTCTTTCATAATAGTATTATCGTTATGTGAAATTTGGTGATATTCCAAATGTTTTTGATAGAGTATTGAATCTACCTCTATAACAAACCCGCACATAATTTTATTTTGAAGAAATTATAAGAAATATACTTTAATTTTGAGCTAATTAGAAAAAATCCCCACACTTTGCTAAACCTCTACATTATTTTTTTCACCTTTTGTATTTTTTTGATCAAATAGCCTTCATGGTAATTGTGTTATTGTGAAGACATTCATTGTAGAACAAGTGCCATGATGACCTTAATGTTTTGAAACATCACGATACTTAAAATACTGTAATAAACTTTAAATGTATCACAATACTTAAAGTGCCGTGATGATCCAAAGAGGTATCACATGACTAATAACCATCACGGTTCTTTACGAACTCAAAGAAGAAATTTAGAGAATTTTAATAAGCACCCCTTGTGATTTCATGTCGATTGTCCCATTTTTTATCTTTCAGGTAAGGTCTTTTACTTTTCTTCATTTCTCCTAAATAGGTTATTGCCTGACGAATAAATGTATTTTGCTCCGATCGAGCATTATATACAAGATCTTTGAGAGAGAGAAAGAGAGGGAGGGAGAGAACGAGAGAGAGTTCCACGGTAACTGATGTGGCAAGAGTTGAATGGAGAGAGAGAGAGAGAGTTCCAAGGTAAGTCATGTAGCAAGACTATTACGGTTCTTTACCTATCTGGGTTATCACAACACTTTAAATATCATGTCTAAAGGGCATTACAACTTTTTAAGTACCGTGATGCCTCCAAAACATTAATACCATCACAACTATTGCTATACCGTAATAATGTCTTCACGATAATACGACTACTGTAAAAGTTATTTTGGTAAAACAAAATACGAAAAATAAAAAAAAAGTGAATGAAATTTAGAAAAGAATGAAGATTTTTTTTTCTAATTAATCTAAAATTAAGATATATTTATGATAATTTCCCTCTATTATTTTGATAATTTAAACACTCCACACTATGCAAATAATAATAGTGCCATTTTACTTCTACAATACATGTGCATTTCACGTGCATTTTGATAGTAAATATAATAGATGTAATTTCATACTAATATTGAATGAGAGGTTTGAATCCTTTATATAAAGGAAATAGATGTCATATTAAAAATTATAAGATGAATGCATAATTTACTAACTCATTATAATTTGTACCAAGACGATATATTTCACAAAACTCTATCTTTTGAACCTTATATTATTTGAAATAACCTATAAGTACTTTTTCTACACAAATACCAATAGAAAATACATTTTTTTCTGAATGTAATATCTATATATTTAAAAATGTATTTTTAACATTAATTATTCAAAAAACATTTGGGTGTGAACGAACTTTTCCATTGCCAGAAACCTCTCCTGGATTGCAAGTTTCTCCACTGGGGGTAGTCATGATGGCTTCATTCATTATTGGGTTAAAATTAAACTGTGGTTGTAGAACTTTCCTTTCTGTACATATTTAGCCACAATTTAAGGTAGGCTGTCAATGGGCAGGACAGCCCAGCCTGCCCCGATTTCCCTTATTATTTCTTTATTTTTATGTAACACTAGGCCCAGCCTCGCCCAAGCCAGACTAGGGCCGGGTAGCCAAGGCCCCGGTTGGGCCCAAGCAGGCTATGGACCTCGGCTGGCCTCCTATGTGACATTCAATGAGAGAGTACGGCCCTAATAAGAGTAGAAACCTATAAAAGGCGACTCCAGTGTCGGGTAACCATTGAAGAGGACATTTAGGGCAATCTACCTCCTTATCCAATTCAATCTCTATATCTTCATATTATAAATTGTTTTGTTGGTATTTTATTTGAGAAAATATGCTACCAAATAGAGGAAACCCTTTTTTAAATGAGTACTCTATCCAAACTAAAGAATAAATTAAGTAAACCTAAGTGCTCCCATAACGTTCTTTCGAAACCTCGTTCTTAACAATCAAATTTTAGAAATTTTATTTTCTAGTAATAAGGTTTATACTTTATACCCTTTTGTGATTGTAATCACAATAATTGGAATTGTGTAATGCACCTGCCTCTTGCCATTTAAAATCAACTCCTACTTTTCCCACTGAAAGGCGTATACGAGGGCCTACTCAGCAAACTGCAAGGCTCAAGTTCCTCCTCCTGTGGGTCTGCCCTTGTAATTCGATCCAGAATCCAAACGTCCACAATGACCTGGGCCCTAAACGCTCAGTGGGCAGAGTCCTAGTTGTGAAGAAAAGAGGAGAAAATGATAATGACAACAATCATATATAGTTCCAAAAAGGAAGATTATAACAATCCTTCGATATCCGATTTCATTACAATCAATTTAGCCACAGAGAACCCAAATTTGAAATATAGAAAACCAATTAATATGTTGGGTACCAATAAATTAACATGGTAACAGTAAATTAATGCATTACATGAGCATACTTCTCTAAAGCTTTCCCTGCAATATCTTTTCTGCAAGGTCAAACCTAGGAGCAATATCCACTGGTACCTGCAATCAAAAGCCTTAGATGTCAAGCCACCAACGAATAGTCAACTATTATGTATACAATCAAACCCATCTTGCAACATAGCACAGGATAACATCTCTTTGACAGAGCATTTCTTCGTTGTGATAACTCTCTCCGGCTGAATACATTACAATTTTCTTAAAATGATTACAAGATGCCATGAAAATGAGAATGTTAAGCACCAAATTCCTTCTCCTTAGTAAAGAGAGAAACCATGCAACCAATCTAAACATATGCTCAGAGGCAAATCTAGGTTCTCAAATTGGAGATCCGCAGAGCTAAGCCAATCGAACTAAGAGAAAATTAGGCCATATTTCTGGATGCTTTCCAAATTTGGGGGCCTTGATGTAAAAATTGCATACGTATTTAACTTGGATGCTGACAGAGACGACCAATAATTCTTTAAAATTGTTCAACATAAAAATTCACAATCTGATTTGTGTGCCCATGTATGCATGTGTGTTACCAATGAATCATTAGAGAAGAGTTCCAATCCAGTAAATCATAACAAGCAGATATTCATACCTGAATCTTTTCTAGTTCTTGCAAAGCATGGCTCAATGGTTGTGTCATTGTAGCATACATGTTAAGAAGTGAACCTGCAGCAGCTTTATCACCTTTAGCTTGTATTGTCATTATTTCTCGACTCAGGCTCTCGACTGCACCTTCGACCTATAGCCAGGGGAACATGGGGTGCGTTTGTAATGGAGACAGACAAGGAACGTTTTAACTAAAAAGCTGGCTGCAATAACAATTACCTCTGAAAAATTAACCGAAAATGTTCCAGTTGAGTCTAAAATAAAGCCTCCTTTTTCAAAAATCCAATTAAATTGCAGAGCTTGCCCTTTCCTGCTTCCAGGAAATAAAAAAGACATTTAATTATGTTGGAAAAAGAAAGCCGTTGATAAATTATGTCAGCAAAATCGACAAGTTGGGCACATACCCATGTGCTTCTTCTAGCCCAAAGCGTACAGAACGGAAGCAGCCAGCAAGGAATGAGACATACATAGACATGGATAGGCTTTTTGGCAGCAGTCCCTGTCAAAGGCAACCAAAAGATTAATTCATTAATTATTTCACACATTCACTTTTTTATCCTTAATTTTTTTTACTACATTATTCAATCAGAAGCACCTGATTGACAAGGAATTTAAGCGCCCAAAGCCCAACAATATCTGCTTTTGCTTCTTCTAAGGCTGAGTGAAGCTCTTGAAGTTCCTTCACAACATAAAACAATGGAGTAAAGTTAGGTAAAATTTCCATTGTTCTTTCTTTTTGAAAGTTAAAATTCCATTGTTCAATACAATCATAGCTGAAATTGTTCGGCAGTGCTTCATAAAGAAATTTTGAGATGAACTACTCCGATTCACTGACTATGATTGCTCGATAATTATAAATATGGCCCTTTGTTTCTTCCATTGAAAATGGAATGTTTACTAAATAGACATTCTACAAAATTGTATGTAAGTGACTAACTTTTATAAAGTTGTTGTTGGAAGCCAATGTAGGATGAAGACAAAAACTATTCGGATTGAGGGAAATCTTAAACCCTGTAATTTCCTATCTTTTATTTAAAAGCAAATGTGGCTGACAAATAAAATGAAAATATTAAATAAATGGTGCCATACCAATCTCACAGTTGACTGTTGGCCACTGGGAAGTGTTATGGTATGAGGTCCAATCCCATGGCAGCACTCGTGACAGATTGTGTGAGTAAAGAAGGACTCAAAATCAACATATTGCTTCTGATCTTCTCTGATGCATATTTCAGATATGGGCTGAAGAATATGCTTAAACCTAAATGGGGGGAATAGATAATCTTGTCGAATTACTACAAATAGGAGTCAAGAAATATCATTAAGAACTATTGAAATCCAAAGAGGCTCTCTAACTGGCAGTGTAAACAAATAATTGTGTACGGAGTGTTTACTTGGCTTCTGAGACATTCTTGAGCATGACCATTGATGTTCCTCGCTCCTTAACTATTCTCTCATCATTTGGCAGATTGAAAGCAACCGTTTGTGGACCCTTAACATCCTGAATAAAAAAATCAGAAATATGCTCAACTTCAGTTTCCTGAAATCCTGAAAAATTGCATCAGCATATGAAAAGTAACTTCAAACAAGGTAAACCTGAGTGACAATTAGCAAAAGAACGGAAGACCTAATTGTCTGTCTCAACAGTTTCCATAGAAAGAGCAAAAGGGAAGAATTTGCATTTAGCATAAGGTGATTAATACAGGGTACTTAATCTTAAACTTATCAGTTAGTCAATAAAGACAAAGTATCCAACTTCTTCATGAAGACACAAGCTGCATCCCACTTTCAATCATAACTAACAGAATTGTGGTGTGAGGTTGCATCCCTGGAGGTCTAGAATGATTCCTTTGCGAAAAGCCTTCAAAATGCTTAGAGGTTGAGGATATGGGGCATTACTTCAAATAACATGTTTTGAAAAAGGGATTACCAACATGTTTTGTGTAACATACTTTAGAAAGGATGGACGTGCCCCTTCCTATGCCAGAATATAACTGACATCTGCTGAAGGCAACCAAAACTAGGAAGCATTTTAGCTCCTGTTGGTGGGTTGAGGTACCAGGCAGATAACTTTATAGAGAACGGTTGAGTTTTTAGCCATGGCATTTATATAACTTTAGCCGCCCCAATCACAGGGGATTTGTCATAATTACTTTAATAGCATGACGCCATATGTGCTGAGGTAGCACTGATGCTAAACAATAGCTCAAAACTCTCATTTCATCTCATTAAGTTTTAACACAGCAGTTCGGCAGGTTCCATCAAGTCCATGGCAATTTTGTTAGGTGTGAAGACATATTTCCACCATTGAAGACTGCTTCTTGTCCACAAGTTAAATGTTTATCAGATCAACCTGATGCAAACCCGATCCAATTGGATTCAACTAAAACACAATTAACATGGTGAAATGAGATGTAGATTACACAAGAAGGATGGTCATAAGATTGTGGGTTAGAGATTTGTGGTGATTTTTGCCAAATTTTTCAGGGTTCCGGAGAGTCATTTCAAGAGTCATGAGATAATTCTGTTTTTATTAGGGATCGCACTAGGACTGCCTATTTCCTTAAAGAAAATTTTATTGTTTGTTCAGAAAAAAAATACAATTTCTCATAGACCTATAAGTATTTTATTGGGTTTCCAACTTATGTGGGGTATTTTAGGCATTTAAATTTGGGGAAATCTTTGTAAATATCGCCCCCCCCCCTTTTTTTTGGTTGCAGTTTACAACTTAGTAGCTGAGACGAGAATGATGAGATGGATGAGTGCTGAGATGAGGATGATGAGATGGATGAGTGGTAAGATAAGAAAGGCTAGAATTCGAAATAAATACATCTGAGGTAGCTTAGGGGTGGCTCCAATAGGTGATAAGATGATGGAAAGTAGATTTAGGTAGTCTGGCCATGTACAGTGTCAACTTAGAACAATACAAGTTAGAAGGGACGATTTTGTTCAGCTGGAAAGCTGTAAAAGTGCAACGGAAAGGCCCTAAAGGACATGGATGGAAGTAGTGGGAAGAAATCATAGTTACCAAGATCTTCTAAGGAGAGGTCGCTTCCACTCTCATATCTCGTTCTGGTACTCTGAAATATAGGATCTCGATTCTTGGGAATTCCTCGATATTAATGATTGAGGACAATATCCCACATAGAATTAAAGCCGGGTGGGTGAAGTGGAGATGTGTAACCAGATTTTTATGTGATCGCCACATACCAATGTAGCTGAAGGGAAAGTTCCATATTACAGTTGTGAGACCAGCTTTTCTCTATGGGGTGGAATGTTAGACGGTCGAAAACAATATACCTATAGAATGAGTGTAAAGGAGATGAGGATGTTGATATGGATGAGTGGCAAGACAAGAAGGGAAAGAGATAGAATTCTAAATAAATACATTCGGGAAAATTTAGGGGTGGCATGAATAGGCGATAAGATGAGAGAGAATAGACTTAGGTGGGCTGGCCATGTGTGGCATAGACTCAGTATATCACCTGTTAAGACGTGCGAGTTAGTTCAAGTGGAAAGCTCGAAAAGGGCAAGGGATAGGCCTAAAAGGATTTGATTGGAAATAGTGAGAAAAGATACGGGGACTTATGACCTCACTGAGGGTACGACCCTTAATAGAGCAGAATGGCAGACCAGAATTCGTGTAGCCAACCCCAATTAGATGAGAAAAGGCTTTGACGATGATGATGACCCAAGAAATCCGAGATCTCGATCCTATGTTAATGGGACCCAAATCCCTATACCAAAAATTATCGTTTCATGAGTAAGCTGAACACGATTCCACCAATATGGAATCAAGTATCCTATACTTCGTGTGAGAGTTTCAATGGCACATATTTTGGTTCATAAACAATGGAGTACGGATCTCCATTTTCTTATGATCTACAAACTTTCTAAATGCCATGATTTTCTATATATTCTATAGTTCACCACTTTACACACCTTGTGAATTGCGACTTGTGTCTAGTTTAAAAAAAAAGCAACAAGATAGGGCAAGGAGAAAAAAAAAAGAAGCTGTGATGAGATGCAAAAGATAGTCACATTGCGGTTGTATTTAGGAATGTGGTCACGAAAAATACGCTTAACTTCCTTGGGGCTAGTTCATTGCGTCTTGTCCAACTCCCAAAGGGCTCCTATCACTTGATTGTTGGCTAACTAAATCGCTTCACATATGGGATTGCCTTATGGGTGATGGAATAACATGCATTCTTGGAAATATGAGATATTTTTTGAGTATAGGTCATTGAGCCCTTAACAATCATTGATGGAGGAGAGCTATTGAGAATTTTATTTGCCAATGCCTTTCCTTTTTTTTGTTGTTTTGCAAAGGAGAACTTAGCTATTGCAAGCCTTTATTTTTTAAAAACAACCTACTACAATATTCTTAAATTACAAGTTTTTAAGATCAAAAGTTTAATGTCCCGAAACACAAATGTGAGACATTTTCTAATCATCGTATAAAAATAATAATAATGAAAGTTTTCCAAATTCCAAATTAATACTTTTAGTTTCATTCTGAAAAAGATTCCTTCGTGAATTTGGAAGAAGTTAAAAATATTGTTAAATGAAACTCGCTCTGAATATCACAATGCACCTGATAATTGAACTTCAGGAATCTCAATCCTAACACGCCAGAACGTAAGCACCTACCGTAAGGGATCCACTCTTTTGTAGATAGAACTCGAGCCCTACATCTTCCTATGCACAAAACTCCTCTCAACCACAGAACTTTGTAGTTTCCTCAGTCCACACTTCCGTTCACGATCCTAGAGCTTTTTTGGCTCCAGGCCCGAGTAACTATGGAAGATATATGGTAACTTATGGTCTAACTGAAAGTACAGCCCTTGATAGAGTGGAATGACAAAACATCATTTGTGCAGCCGAACCCAAATAGTTGGGATAAAGCTTAAATTATGATGATTAATATGTCGGTCATATATATATTTTACACCCATGTCCCTTTTTTCCATTGTTTTAAAATTTTCTGAAAATCAACGCCAGTTGGCACTTTAAGTGTCATCCAGCTTGAAGCTCTAAGTTACATCGCCAAATGGAGTGGCCAATGAAAGAAGTGGCAATGTGGAATTCGAAGGAGTAAAATCAGAAATTTTCTCCCTTTTTCTTTTTATTAATGAATATGAGTTTCACTTACAAGTGCCACAATACATTGCTGTAAACAAGAAATAAAATCCTAAATACAATCTAGGATCGTTTCTTTTACTGCCAAATAGAATAGACAGAATTCAAGAACGAAAAAACAAGCCTCTGCTAACAATTTTAGTACAAATAAAGTTCCTCGAAATTCAAATAAATAAGTAAATAGTGACTGAAATTAAAAGCAAATAGCGGGGAAGACTTACTCGAATTTGCCTAGGGTCACCCTATAGGACTTAATACGCACCACACCTAGTTTCCTAACCGATAGCGCACTCTGATCCTACTAGCCTTGTTGAATTTTTTGAGTCGGGAAGCTTCCTTAAGCAATACCTTACAAACTAGGGTTTTTATGAGAGCATGAGACAATTAAGGTTTCAAGACCCCTTTTTAATTCTAATTCTAAGCTAAGGTTGGCATGCCCCCTTTCTCTCAACTTTATAGGGTGGTGGTGCATGTGACCCCTAGAGCTTTATCGGGTGGCATCCACCTACAGAGAGAGAGAGAGAGAGAGAGAGAGAGAGAGAGAGAGAGAGAGAGAGAGAGAAGAGGAGTGGAGTAGAGAGAAGTAGAGTAGAGAGAGTGTAGAAGTAAAGTGTAGTAGAGTAGGTCGGGGTCGTCCCGTCTTAGTAGTACGGACGTACCGTAGGT